AAGGAATCGAATGAGCGTGTTTTTCTAGTAATGGTGCGTATTTGTGCTTAAAAAAAAAATCGGCTAAAAACTTGCCCTTGCTCTCATATAACTAAGATCAGGATTTTCAAACATCCGGTTGAGTTTACTCCTAATATATTGGTGATGGTAAATTAGTAAATTTCCTCTAGTTTCGGGTTTTTTCACATCGTAAGGGAGATTGAATATCATGTTTTTAGAGTAGTATATGATATTAACCATCTCCTTAATACTTTTGCCTTTCTTTTATAGTTTTACCATATGTTTCCGTTCAAAAGGGTTACAAGGCACTTAGCGGCCAATATTTTATTTTTCTTCCTATCTAATTCAAACTACAAACCCAAGCTTAGGGGGCGTCCATAAATTACGTGAGATGTTCTTTTTTAAATTTTCTGTGCGCCCCTCCCCCCTTAATGAGATGTCGTGAGATTTTATTCAACCCCCTCCCCCAGAATTTGGCTTTCTAACGTAAACACGTTGGATTGTTATTGTAAAAAAAAAAACGTATTTATCAAAAACGAACTATTCTCTCAGTGGCGGCTCTGAGAAGCCGTTCATCTCATTCCATAATTTTATCACATCGTCCTGGCAGGGCTTCTTTGCCTTATATACGTATCTTTTGACGTATGCGTTATAAAAATCTTGATAACTAATTTTAAAATAATAAGAGCATGCACTAAGTCGAGTAAAACAATTACAAGAATAAACAAAGCAGGTTAGAACCTGTCCGTGTGTTACTCGTACGCTCTCGTTCAACGAGTCGCAAGTTCGGCTGACAGTTGGGCGAAAACAAAGAACGGGCTACACTGTACCGTAAATTCAGACTAAATTGAGCTACTTAGTGAAAAATAAATATGGTGGTATGAAATTTAGTAGATGTATAACGTCGAAGTATGAATGAAATTATTTTCTTTCGAAAGAATTAGTGATTAATCTTAATCGTATTACGATGACGCTTAAGATTAAATTTTAAGCATGTACATACTATTTGGATTAAATGGTCCAAAATAGTATCATTTTTTTTTTTATTTAATATTTGTCGAGACTGTGGTTAATTGTAATTGTGGTTATTTGACAACCCATAAAGAAGTTTTATATACCATATCTTAACCTTTTACTTCATTAAAATTTATTTTTCAAGAAACTATCAGAATAACCCGCAGTATTGGTAACCGATATGGATGAAAACGTTGCTTGTCGAAGTGACAGGACATTGTCGATATTTAGCAATAGTCTATGAGTAATTGTGAATAAAATTATTGTTTCAGTTTTTGTACTACATTGCTAGCTAGAAAATAAAAATAAATAAGCCAATAAGTGCATCCAGTGCATGTTTAAAATCCAGTAGACCGAGGTTCCGCAACTCTTCCCTTTATATTATATTGAAAAATATATTTACTCTACCTAGTAACGGCGTACTCATAAGTCGCATTTTTTTTACAAATCGTTTTAAATTCTTATATTTTCTGTCAAATGTATTTATGTTTTTTTGCATTGATTACAGTTTCTGCAAAAAGATCGTTTAGAACTTTAATTCGTTTCTCTCTATAAGTTAGAAGTTTAATTTTTAAGAATAGATGATCTCAGTCCATGTAACAAATTCGATGTCGCGAATAAGGTTAGGTTTCCATAAGATTGTATTCTTTGGTTGAAGTGTTATTGATTTCCGATATTGACTTTTAACTTCAACATTTCTGAATGACGTGAAAAATGAGTTAAATATGAGCAAGACCGACAATTATTCGAGAACTCTACTATGGGCAATCTCTAACACAAGTTTCAATTATTGTTGTGCCTGATCCCTTTTTATACTCTCCCAACCTGTTGCTACAGAGTATAATAGTTTTGTTCACCTAACGGTTGTTTGTATCACCTAAAACTAATCGAGTTAGATATAGGGTTATATATATATAAATGATCAGGATGAAGAGACGAGTTGAAATCCGGGTGACTGTCTGTCCGTCCGTCCGTCCGTGCAAGCTCTAACTTGAGTAAAAATTGAGATATCTTTATGAAACTTGGTAGACATGTTTCATGGTACCGTGAGACGGTTGGTATTGCAGATGGGCGTAATCGGACCACTGCCACGCCCACAAAACGCCATTAATCAAAAACAAATAACTTGACATAACTAAGCTCCGCAATAAGATACAAGACTGTTATTTGGTACACAGGATCACATTAGGGAGGGGCATCTGCAGTTAAATTTTTTTTTTTTAAAAGTGGGCGTGGTCCCGCCTCTAATAGGTTTAATGTGCATATCTCCTAAACCGCTAATGCTATAATAACAAAATTCACTGGAAGCAAATGTTTTTAGCACTTCTATTGACGGTGTGAAAATAGTTGAAATCGGGTGGCAACTCCGCCCACTCCCCATATAACGGTACTGTTAAAAACTACTAAAAGCGCGATAAATCAAGCACTAAACACGCCAGAGACATTAAATTTTATCTCTGAGATGGTATAAGATGACTTTATAGGAACCGCGTTCAAAATTAGACAGTGGGCGTGGCACAGCCCACTTTTAGGTGAAAACCCATATCTTGAGATCTGCTTAACCGATTTCAACCAAATTCGGTGCGTAACGTTCTTTTCATGTTTCTATGTCATAGTGCGAAAATGGGCGAAATCGGATTACAACCACGCCTATTTTCCATATGACACCATTTTAAATACCACTTGATTCTTTCACCTTCCACTATGCAAATCAAGCAACAATGATTATATCGGCGTAAAACTTTGCGTGAATAATACGTTTAAAGTATGCCACCTTGTGACCAAAAATTTTCTAAATCGAACCAAAACTGTTCAAGCCCCTAGGTACTGAATATGTGGACCCCAGTACCTATAGTTGACCTTCTACCGAAAATATCAGTCAATCCACAAAAAAATCTCAAACGAGTATACCATTTGACTTTGCGAGAGTATAAAATGTTCGGTTACATCCGAACTTAGCTCTTCCTTACTTGTTTAACTTTCAATTGTCTACAAATGCAAAATTACACTCCTAAATGTGCACATGGAAGTGTTAAAAGATATCAATAAATTGCAAGTTATATGTTTTCTTGCCCGGATTATTATTTAAATATATTTTTATTTTATTTAATAATTTTTGTAACTATTATATGCTTTTTTTTGCTACATCAGGTTTTATAAATAAAACGTAAACTTGCACTCTCCGCTTGCATACATTCATTGAATGCGGCCCCCAGCTGTCCCCCACTTGGCGCTCAATGCCATATAATTGTAGAAGTCTGAAAAGAACGGTACTAGGGGATCAGCGCAAAAGTGTAAAATTATAAAGAAGGTAGATTGTTTCGGTATTTTTTTTCCATAATTCCCCTTATTTTACTGCAATTCTAAGCGGCTTTCATTTCCACACAATTGAAGGCATGTTGTTGCTTGCAATAGGGCTACGAATGAAAGGCCGCCAGTGCATTGCATTTGTAAAAGGCATAGATATAGATTTATGCCACGGTAGAATAACATATCAGTGTGTAGCACACTAGCACATATCAGTGTGTAGCACACTGGCACGTTATTCCTGCATTTAGATTACTATATGTTTAGTAGATAAAAGTTCTTCTTTCGAGACACATAGAAAACATAAGAAAGCGGACAGAGGCACTATAGGTTTCAAATATGTGTTCTACCAGCGAAAAAATTAAAAAGAAAGATATTCTCTGCTTTCTCGTTGATCACACTTCATGCCCACAACAATCGTAAAGCATCATACAACTGTGTTTTAAATGAAAATTATTTAAAAATTCATGTAATATATAATCATAAGAGATTTATGTTTTCATTCTACTGTTATTTTAGTGTTCGAAATTGAAATGTTGAGGTTGGGTATAGCTGGTCTATATACAAATGTACATAGTTGGGGACGAAATAATATGTGCACTTTACGATTTTTTTTTATCTAAGTACTCAGTTTTATTTTGATATAATCTTAATGATTATTTAAATGAAAGGCTTGACTAACTTCAAAATATGAATCAGCTTAGCTCCCGCAGATTTGAATTCCATACGACCAGATCGGTTTAAGTATTGCCTTATAATAGCTTCTTCTTTAGACTGAGGCGGGATCTTGAACATAGGAGCCAATACAGCTGCACAAACCTGAACTGGGCTCTCTGATTCACGTGGTCTCTCGAAGTATGTCTCTAATCAATTGTCATTCCCAGATATTTTGCACTTGTTGGTAGCAACTGACCATATGAGGCCACTTCTGTACATATTTCGTGCCAGGGTATATACAAGACCATTTGTATGGAAATTTCAGTGTTAATGACAATGTTCCATTTGGTGAGCCACGCTTCTAGAGCGGTCAATTGCCTTTGCAGTTTCCTGGAAGCGGCAGTAGAATTGCTACTCGACATCAGCAGTGCAGTTTCATCCGCATAGGTTGCCGTAATTGAGGAGTCAGAGTTAATCACTGCAATATTAGTCATGTAGAGAATGTAGAGCACAGGCGCAAGAACGCTGTCTTTAAATACACCAGCGCGTATGGGTCTCAGATCCGACTCAGCATCATGACACCTGACGTAGAACGTCCAATTATGCCAGTATGATTTTAGCACCAGGTAGTAAGGCCTAGGCAGTTTTTCCTTTTACCTATATAGTAGGCCTAGGTGCTAGACCGTGGCAAATGCTTGACGCACATCAAAGAAAACTGCAGAACTGTATTTACAATTTTCCGAGGCATCAGTTATAAAGTTTTCTACTCTGTGGCTAAACTGGTGATCCGGGATGAGTTGTTTTTCCTATAGCAGAGGCAAGAGTCTTTATCTGAGCACATTTTCATTGAGAAGGAGAATAGCAGAGCCCTTGTTCGTAACAGTTCGCTTCTATGCAATTCGGCATTCTTTTCCATTTTCAAAATTCTTTTGATGGTTGCATAGCGCATGGTTCCAAATAAATATATACAAAATGTTCGGAAATTGCAATGTTATTCTAAAAAATGTATGTAATATGCATAATATAATAAAAATATTTTAGAAAAGTGTAAAAATTAATAATATTTAGGTAATAAAAAACATTTTTACACCGCGTACATTAATGAATTTGAGAATGTTATATGAACGAAAATGCAGAAAATTGTCCAACTCAAGTTGCCGGTCTCGGTTCACTCATGTGAACGCACTGAGCGACACCAAAAGAGAATTTGCCTATAAAAAATGACAAAAGAGCCATCTTAGCAGCAGGTAATTACAGGTATATAAATGTATCTTTGTAAATAGAAATATGGACAAATAATTAGAAAAATAAAAAAGAAATGCACTCTAATTATGCAAGAAGACGAGAACACCTAATTTCAGAAACAGAAATATCAGCTAAATGTATGTGTATATATGTAATGTGACAGCTGACACGGGGCTGCAATTATTTTGCTAAACCTCATTGTTCACAAAATTAACATGGGTCTTAGTGTAGCATATTTTGCAGCTAATGCATTTTTTTTTTTGTATGTTTTGTTCTGAATGTGAAACTTTCCAATCCCTGCATCATGCAATGGATTTGCAAGAGCAAGAGAATCCCCGTATATCCGAGAGTTGTCTTTTATATTTCCGCATTACAGAACAACAACAAATTTAAATCACCGAAAATCGCTTTTATTATTCTATTTTTAAAAATATTCTTCATTAAGATTTATACGCTTTTGAATGGGTTTGAACCAATTGTCGAAGCACTTTTACCTCTTTAGGTGTAGAAAAACGTTGACCGTTCGGTGTCAGGTCTATACGGCGGATGACTTACCAAATCGAAGTTTTGAGTGCTCAAAATGCTGTTGTTGCAGTTTAGACGACGTATGATAGCTCGCATTGTCGTGGTAAAGAGTGATGCGTCTTCGGCGGTTGATTTTCCTGATTTCTTGAAAGACAACCGGGAAACAAATTGTTGTGTACCACTCAGAATTACTGTTCTGCGTTGTTTTAGTGGTATGGTTGCAACATGTCAAGCTTTTCCAGAACCATTTGCTGGGGAGTGCGTCGTGCGTGAATCCACGTTTCGCATAAATTCACGGTTTATCACCTATCACGATGCCATAGACGTGTTTATGAGCACCGCTATCGTATTGTTTTAACATTACTCTCGAACAACCGACACGAACCTGTTTTAAAGCGATTAACAAATTATGTGGGATCCAACGTGAACAATTTTTTATACCATCAAATGTTCAAACAATATTGAATGTGTGCTAGTCCCACTAATGACTATAGTTGTCTAAAACTCACAATAGGTCACATGACGATCTTGCAATATCAGTTTGCGCACATCATTAATAGTTTCCGACCAACAACGGATTTTGAACGACCTTCACGAAACTCGTCTTGGAGTAATCTACGACCTCGATTGAATTCACCATACCATCGATACACACTGGTCTTTGATGGAGCTTTGTTGCCTAAAATTTAATTAAGTTCGTCAATGCATTGTTGCAGAGTTAATCCACGTCGAAAGTTGCAAAAAATAACCGCGCTAAAATGTTTGCGATTCAATTATATTTTTTGGCCGAGATGAATATTTTAAGTTACTGTAAACAACACAAATAGCGCTAGTATGTCGAAACGTTCTGAGTACGTATAACATCAAAAATGTTAAACTTTACGATAAAGTTATGTGTTGCCAGATTGCAAAACTAGGGTTGCCAAATCCCGAAATATAAAATGTAACCTTTGTATAATGAGTACTTTGTACTGTGCCTGCCTCGCCACACTCTTGCTCAGTATACATTTTGTTGTTGTTGGGTACCGGTATTTTAGTGTACAACAATTTGCAATGTTCTAAGCGTGTATTATTGGTTCAGTTTTGATTTGGTTTAGATTTGTTTGTTGTACAAGAAGTCAGCGTCATTAAATCGACTAAATTATACCATCGGCCTTGTCGTGTTGCAGCAGACAGGCTGCACGCAATCGCACAAAATTGCGCTGTGCTACATTGCTTACTATATGAATGGATGTAAGCATGTCCATTAATATGTAAGCTCGAAAAATTTGTTTTGTATACTTATATTTTGAAGCAAAACAATGTCACAGGAAAACGCGTTGTCAAATTAGATATGTATGTAGTATATAATATAGCACTGATTTTTTTCCAAATTTCGAACACTATTTCGATAATCTACGAGGTAGCTCTGTTATTAATTTTTATTTTATTACAACAAATTATCAGATTTTTTTTCGCAAAAATCGCGTTCCGCTTCAAAGTATTCCTAAAAATTTTATAATTTAAATTTCGAAAAAGCCTATCGCTATCTTAAGGAACCTACTATCTAAAGAATGATTTGTTTTTGATTTGATTTATTCAACATTCGAAGAGAGAGAGTCAAAAATATTTCCAAAAATATGCCTTTATATTGTACGAATTAATCTTACCATACACCATCCAACTATAATTGTAATAATTGTGCCCAACGCAGCATTTTTATTAATTGATAGTAAAGTATTTTTCATACTCTTTAAAACTCTCAATATAAATAAACTTGAAAAACTGAAAAATTAAACGCACGATAATTCAGTAATTTCACGAAGAACGTTTCGCGCATACCTAAATAACGCTGCAGCAATGCCGAGTTTTTAAAAATTTCGATTTTGACAGCGCGTTAAGAACTAAAGTTGGCTGCAAAAAACAAAGAAATTGTAATTTTTCTGAAAAATGTCTTAATGCGCGATTAATAATGCTTGTACAAATAGAAGTAAGTATTATTAATAATTTAATTCGTTTTGAACTTCATTTAATATGTAATATTTTTCGAATTCAAGTGAGAATTTGACGTAACGTTGACGCTTTATTTAGGGATGTCGCGTCGGCTTTAACGCGGAGCGGTAAAAAACGTCCTGCTCAACGCTTTTACTTAGGTATGCCAGTTACAAGTACATAATAGTTATTGTATTTACTTCATTAATGTTAAAAAAAATTGCCACACTTTAGAACCACGATTTCATATATTTTGGTTACGTTAATAATGAAATCTAACTTTAGTTTATTTTGTTATAAGTTGCGAAAAATATTACCTGGCAACTCACTCAATAAATGCATGTACAAAATTAATTCCTAATCTATCTGTATGTTAACCAAAACAAGTAAGCATACTCGTATGTATGAGTTTGTACAATAATTTAAATTTATAATTTATACAAAAATCAATGAAAATTTTATAAGTGGCATTTCCATGTGGAAATATTATACCAGCCTTGACAAACAAATCATCTACATATGTACATACATACATACATATGTACATACATTGCTACGTTAAAAATTATTATGAGAAATGAACAAAATTAAAACTTGTTATTCCTTCAAACTATGTCTAACCTCCTTATTCCCTTAACATTCTCTTCAACGCTTGACAAACTGTTTTATATACATATGTATATACATACATACATACTCGTACATATACATATACATACATGTGTATGTACATATGTATGTTGTGGAACATTTTTAGTGATATAATATGTAAAATTCGCCTATTGCCAAAAAGCAAACTCATGCTAAGATAACTAACTCACTTTTTCTGAGACAGTCATAAAATAGATACATGCACCCATATCTACGAACAACATACATATGTATGTATATAGTATTTTTCAATGTGTTTCACAATACGCTCACATTTAACTATTTGGTGGTACATTACTTTTGAGGTCGTAAATGGCGCGAGCGCGCGCGAAAGTTGCAATTTTCTTCTATCACCAAACATATTAATAAACCCACATGGAGCGGCCGTCACAACGCGACGTTGCCGCATTTCCATATGTACGTCATTAACGTTCAGATGCTAAACGAATAAAAGCGCGAAACATGGCAACAATACTTAAGTTACGGCGCGCCAAAGTAAACAATAAGTAAGTGAATGCTGTTCGCACGTTTTATCGCTTCAATATGTGTTGTTTTTTTTGTCCACTGTTTTTAAGTTTGTATAAACTATGACTGCTTTGTGTGCCGCACCGATCAGTGCCGTATAGCTGAAATGAATTTGTAAATATGTTTGTATGCAGTTAAATACCTGTGGACACCTAACATATTCATATGTTTGTATATGTAGGTGTATATTTACATATGTACTAAGCTAAGCACATGCATAAAACGCATTTTATTATTGTAATTTATCACCAATTTTATTTATTGAACTTACCCATTAATATACAATATGCATGTATGTACGTAAATACTTATGTATGTAAATATGTATATAGGCTTACAAAAGTTTAAGTATGTACATACATAGGCCATATTTCTTGCAGAAAATAGTAAAAAACTAAAAAAAAACTTTTTGTTTAAGGAGCACTACATTTTAAATAAAAACTTAATGAATATTTTCATACTTAAATAAATTAAATTTAAACTAAAGAAATATTACATTTTATATATAAAAGCGGATTCATAAAAGTATACATACATACACTTTAAATATAAATAAAAAGTAACAATTCCAATAAGTTTTGTGGCCTCCTTTGGATTTTTTTACAGCAACCGGTCTGGATTGCATTGAAATAGCCAAGGCTTTAGTGATCCGATATTTTACCCCGTTCCTCAAGTAAAACTGTTTTTACGAAGTTTTACCATTTTTAAGGTATTCCACAAATGCTCTATGGCATTTAAATCAAGCGAGTCCGAAACGTGTTCTAAGCTCTGTATAACATTGTATAGTAACCATTCTCGCACGAGTATCGAATAATGTTTGGGGTCATTATCCTCTAAAAATATGGACTCTAGATTTAGTTTTTGTACACTTGGAAGGTAACTGTTCTTTAAAATCTATATATACAAGATTTTACCCATTATTCCTTGATTGAACTATGAAGTATGCCAACGCTATTTGCTGCCATGGAGCCCCATCCCTGATCCGGTTCTACGATACCGGAACTGATCTTACTTCTATCCGGCTAAGGTTGTTATTTCGGCCATCTAACACTGTTTGGATCGGTAAGTTTTAGGTTTTATTTGTCATTATTGGAACCACAACAAGCAGTAGGTGATTCGTGCTACCATTGAGTCCAACCTAGGTCCGGAGGTATTTTTCCAATACATATGCGCCAAAAAGCTCTGTCTAAACTCTACCTCGGTTAGGTGTAACACATGCAATGGAGCCATCTTAAGACCTGGTCAGGCCTTAAAACACATAGGGGTGGATCACACATTACGTGGCCCCATGTTGCCAATGCACAACTGCGATACTAGCCTCTACGGCTTGGCAAATTGCACCTAGTTCACGCACTGTGATTCCAGTCCAGTAGTCAATAAAGAACCAATATATTCCGAAAGAGCATGACCTAAATTATAAAGTCGGTAGCCGGCAGCACCTAGGTAAAAGGCAAAGAAACGTTGTTAGCCACATACAAAGCAATCGGCCGACCGCATACACAAGGCACTGTTCTTCAAGAAGTTTCTACTGGTATGTTTTCGCAGAAATTAACACTGCAGTCATCTGATTGAAGCGGAGCCGCCTCCTAGGAGCATGAATAGGTCATTGCTTGATTACGTAGACGACATTGAACAATGCGACGATCAGACTAAGGACGCAGCTAATTACTGAAATCTTTGCACTCCCAATGAATCCCACTTATCTAACACCCCTCTCCCTTTAATCCGACCCCGTCGAACCAGCACCTTTTCTGGACTTCCTGTTAGATAACTTCGATGACTACCAGCTTGAACCTTACCAATCAATCAAAGATTAGATAACCATTTTAACAACTAAATCAAGTCTGTGTATTAGGTTGAAACCATATTTTTGGGGCTAAGTGCTGTATTTGATTAATTTGTGATAATTAATTTGAAAATTACGCATTTCAAATAATAATATCAAATGGCCATTTTCATGTTTACATTCCCTTTTTCTAGCCACTGTGAAAAAATCATTCTGTTTTAGCAGCGACGTAAAGTTTCTGCATTTCTGCAATTATATTGCGACAATATTTTCTATATCTTTTGCGAGTTTTACAGCAGTCTGTCCTACTTTCCGTACGATTCGTCGTCACATTTGTTTGTGCCCATCTTAGGTTATTATTTTAAACATAGAAATTTCAAATATTTCGACATTTTGTACTACACTTAAAATAAATTACAAAAACTATTTCTAAATAAACTAGTATCATTTAGTCATCAAATTATTTGTGATAAATAATTTTTTACTGCAAGAAGAGATAAACTATGTTAGGCCTCAGTTTCAGTGATAACCTTTTCATTCGAGCGAAATTTCTTACCGGCGAGCATTTTTTTGAAATCTGCGAACTGGGAACCCGGAGCAAAGAAGAATTCTGGACCTTTCTCATGGACAAATGCTCATGCAAAATAAAGCCAACACGTTGTTTTAAAATCCCTACGGTGTCAGCTATATCTGCAACTTCACTTTTGATCATTCAGAAAGGTTTTGTGGATTTTTTAAATGTTTTTTGGTGTTACAGGCTCATTTGGACGCCCACTGTGTTTTTGCATCATTGTTTCTGCGACCACGTTTGAAGTCAGCAAACCAACATTTTATTGTTTCTAATGGTGCGGAATCCCCATAACACTTTTCAAGCCATTGCTTCGCTTGAACGGTATTGTTTCCCATCAAGAAGCAGTGTAAAATTAAAAGACGAAATTCTTAATCATACATCATCACTTTTAGCACAATAACTCGCTAACTACTGAATAGAAAGTCATAAAATTTTAACAGCTGTGTTTTGAAGGTTAATACTAACTGAAAATAAGAATGAAATGAATTCAATAAAACTAGAGCAAATCGTTCTACAAAAGTGGAATTGAAATGTTAGAGGAGTGCTGAAATAATTGTGTTGCTTTTAATGGAAATTATATTGATGAATAAAACCAATCCAATGTAATCAGGGCCGCCGAGAGAAAAACCGGACCAGGGAAACTATTTTTTCAGATTGTGTTGACTATCATGATTAAGTTTTTGAACTTGCAGTTTAAAATCCTCCAATCCACAATTATTTGGAACTTAGAAGTGAGCTTTTTCGAGCTTTAGTGGAAGCGAATGCGTCGATAATAGATAAATCCAACATCTTGGCTACCTCTAGGCACAGTGTAGTTAGTCCTGAAATTCGATGGTGATATTGAGGTCTTGAAGAACCAAGTTTCTACCATTAATTGACTGAAGAAATTTAAGCCATATTGAGGCCATCAAACGCACTCAAATTTGCTCGTATACTTCAAAATTCCCGAACTCCCAGTGAAGGGAATTGGGTATTTTGGATTTCAGAATTTCCCAACGTTGTAGAGATGCAAAATAATCGAAGGGGCTATCAATAGTATCGTTGATATTATTTTCGTCTCACTATCGATAGTTTATTTTGTTTCAAACTGACTAATGTCTGTGTTACCTTATCGAAGGCAGGAATAAATCATAATACAATAAATAAAACATTTTTAGTTTTTCGAGAATTTTTTTCTGCGTTGGCAGTCTTCGTCCGCCCTTCAAAAAAATAACCCTGGTCGTTTCAACACCGGGGTGTATTCATTGTAGTTTTTTCGCATAGAACTCCTTTTTGCGTTTGCGGCCTTCGGCGGCTTCAAAAAATAACCTAGACGGTCACCGATAATGCTTCCTGCCTTTGAGGTATAATCTTTATTTTTGTTCGTTTGCAAAATATATTGGTATGGTAAGAATGGTTATTTTTCAGTATGCAACCGTTATTTTTATATACATATTGAACAATAACTTAAATATTGAATTAAAGCTACTTTTGTGTGAAATAAATGTGTGCACAAACGAATTAGTGAAGTGTTAGTGGATATAAAAGTGAAAAATATAAATGTAAAATTCATTTTAAATCGAAAAACTACGTACTTTAAATAGTTTAAATTTTCAGCTTTGAATGCAAATATCTCGAAAACTTAATATGGAGAACATTCTCTATCCGACCATTTTATCCCC